GTGTGTAGTAGTATGTAGTAGTATGTAGTGTAGTAGTATGTAGTAGTATGTGTAGTACTGTGTAGTACTGTAGTAGTGTAGTAGTATGTGTAGTATGTAGTACTGTGTAGTAGTATGTAGTAGTAGTAGCTGTGTAGTAGTATGTAGTAGTATGTAGTACTGTGTAGTAGTGTGTAGTAGTATGTAGTAGTGTGTAGTAGTATGTAGTAGTAGTATGTAGTAGTACTGTGTAGTAGTAGTAGTAGTAGTAGTTAGTAGTACTGTAGTGTAGTAGTGTGTAGTATGTGCAGTAGTAGTAGTAGTAGTATGTAGTAGTGTGTAGTAGTATGTAGTAGTATGTAGTACTGTGCAGTAGTATGTAGTAGTGTGTAGTAGTAGTAGTAGTGTAGTAGTAGTACTGTGCAGTAGTATGTAGTAGTATGTAGTAGTGTGTAGTAGTATGTAGTAGTATGTAGTACTGTGTAGTAGTATGTAGTAGTATGTAGTACTGTGCAGTAGTATGTAGTAGTATGTAGTACTGTGTAGTAGTATGTAGTAGTATGTAGTACTGTGCAGTAGTATGTAGTAGTATGTAGTACTGTGTAGTAGTATGTAGTAGTATGTAGTAGTATGTAGTAGTAGTATGTAGTAGTATGTAGTACTGTGTAGTAGTATGTAGTACTGTGTGTAGTAGTAGTATGTAGTAGTATGTAGTAGTATGTAGTATGTATACTGTGTAGTAGTAGTGTATGTAGTAGTATGTAGTAGTATGTAGTACTGTGTAGTAGTATGTAGTAGTATGTAGTACTGTGTAGTACTGTGTAGTAGTATGTAGTATGTAGTACTGTGTAGTAGTAGTGTAGTACTGTGTAGTATGTAGTAGTAGTAGTAGTAGTATGTAGTAGTACTGTGCAGTAGTATGTAGTAGTAGTGTAGTAGTATGTAGTACTGTGTAGTACTGTGTAGTAGTAGTATGTAGTACTGTGTAGTAGTGTGTAGTAGTGTAGTACTGTGTAGTAGTATGTAGTAGTAGTAGTGTGTAGTAGTAGTAGTAGTAGTAGTAGTAGTAGTAGTAGTAGTGTAGTAGTAGTGTAGTAGTATGTAGTACTGTGTAGTAGTAGTAGTAGTAGTACTGTAGTACTGTGTAGTAGTATGTAGTAGTGTAGTAGTAGTATAGTAGTAGTAGTGTGTAGTAGTACTGTAGTAGTATGTAGTGTAGTAGTATGTAGTACTGTGCAGTAGTATGTAGTAGTATAGTAGTAGTACTGTGCAGTAGTATGTAGTAGTAGTAGTGTAGTACTGTAGTAGTAGTATGTAGTAGTAGTGTAGTAGTGTGTAGTAGTATGTAGTACTGTGCAGTAGTATGTTAGTAGTATGTAGTAGTAGTAGTAGTAGTAGTAGTATGTAGTAGTATAGTAGTAGTACTGTGCAGTAGTATGTAGTAGTAGTAGTACTGTGTAGTAGTATGTAGTAGTAGTGTAGTACTGTGCAGTAGTATGTAGTAGTATGTAGTACTGTGTAGTAGTAGTAGTAGTAGTAGTAGTATGTAGTAGTAGTAGTAGTAGTAGTATGTAGTAGTATGTAGTAGTAGTACTGTGCAGTAGTATGTAGTACTGTAGTAGTATGTAGTAGTATGTATGTAGTATGTGCAGTAGTATGTAGTAGTATGTAGTACTGTAGTAGTATGTAGTAGTAGTGTAGTACTGTGTAGTAGTAGTAGTGTAGTAGTAGTAGTAAGTAGTATGTAGTACTGTGTAGTACTGTGTAGTAGTAGTAGTGTAGTAGTATGTAGTACTGTGTAGTAGTATGTAGTAGTATGTAGTAGTAGTGTAGTAGTAGTACTGTGTCTGTGCAGTAGTAGTAGTAGTATGTAGTAGTAGTGTAGTAGTAGTACTGTGTAGTAGTATGTAGTAGTATGTAGTACTGTTAGCTGTGCAGTAGTATGTAGTACTGTGCAGTAGTATGTAGTACTGTGTAGTAGTATGTAGTAGTATGTAGTACTGTGCAGTAGTATGTAGTAGTGTGTAGTAGTATGTAGTAGTATGTAGTAGTATGTAGTACTGTGCAGTAGTATGTAGTAGTATGTAGTACTGTGTAGTAGTATGTAGTAGTATGTAGTAGTATGTAGTACTGTGTAGTAGTATGTAGTAGTATGTAGTACTGTGTAGTAGTATGTAGTACTGTAGTAGTATGTAGTAGTATGTAGTACTGTAGTAGTAGTTAGTATGTAGTACTGTGCAGTAGTATGTAGTAGTATGTAGTAGTGTAGTACTGTGCAGTAGTATGTAGTATGTAGTGTGTAGTAGTATGTAGTAGTATGTAGTACTGTGTAGTGTAGTAGTAGTAGTAGTAGTATGTAGTAGTAGTGTAGTAGTAGTATAGTAGTACTGTGTAGTAGTATGTAGTAGTATGTATGTAGTAGTACTGTGTAGTAGTAGTATGTAGTAGTAGTAGTAGTACTGTGCAGTAGTATGTAGTAGTATGTAGTACTGTGCAGTAGTATGTAGTAGTAGTAGTAGTAGTAGTAGTACTGTGTAGTAGTATGTAGTAGTATGTAGTGTAGTAGTGTGCAGTAGTATGTAGTAGTATGTAGTAGTATGTAGTACTGTGTAGTAGTATGTAGTAGTATGTAGTACTGTGCAGTAGTATGTAGTAGTTTGTAGTACTGTGTAGTACCCGGGGCCGTGTTCGAGGCTTCTCTCGACGTCCTGCAGCGCCGCCTCCAGACTCACACTCGTCTGATCCAATCGCAGCTGCACCTCAGAGTCATGTGACAAGGGAGAGGTCATGTGACCACGAGAGGGCGAGCGGGCGGGGCTGCGGGCGGGGCTGAGAGCGGGGCTGAGGGAGCGGGCGGGGCTGCGGGCGGGGCTGAGGCGGGGCTTAGGCAGCGGGGGGAGGAGGGGGAGGAGAAGGCCACACTCTGGAGCACAGAGACGCAGACGCCAGGAGAAGAACGACCAGAACCTCCAGAACCTCCAGAACCTCCAGAACCTGAACACAAACACACAGGGTCAGAGACAGGAGCAGACAGGTGCAGACAGGAGCAGAGCATAGACTGTAACAGAAGTGTTCTGAGTGACGTCAACCACAGCTCAGCTCCAAATGAAGCTCATTGAGGTCAGCAGTTCCAGAGACAGTTTTAACTTGGCTCCAAGTTCCTCCTCCTCCTCCTCCTCCTCCTCCTCCTCCTCCTCTTCCTCCTCCTCCTCCTCCTCTTCCTCCTCCTCCTCCTCTCCTCCTCTCCTCTCCTCCTCCTCCTCTCCTCCTCCTCCTCCTCCTCCTCCTCCTCCTCCTCCTCTCCTCCTCCTCCTCCTCTCCTCCTCCTCCTCCTCCTCCTCCTCCTCCTCCTCCTCCCGTGTGACCGAGCTCCTCACTCTGTCTCTAAGGGAGACGCCCGGACGCCCTGCGCAGGAAACTCATCTGTGTCTCCTGTATCGTGGATCTGGTCCTTCGGGAAATGACCAGAGGTGAGGGAAGGAACGGAGACTCAACTCCTCTTCACCACAACGGTCCAATACAGTGACCGCATCACTGCCCACGCTGCACCTGTCCACCTGTCAATCTGCCCACGCTGCACCTGTCCACCTGTCAATCTGCCCACGCTGCACCTGTCCACCTGTCAGTCTGTCCAGAAACACAATGAACAGAACCGGCGACAGGGGCGGTCCTGACTGTTTCCCTTCCTGAGGCGCTGGGCAGTTTGCCAGAATCTCTTTGAGGTCGTCTGATAGTCGTCCTCTATGTTCTCCCCGAACTCCTCCCAGCTCAGAGTTTTTGCCTCTGCGACGGCACGAGCTGCAGCGTGATTGGCCAGTCGGTACCATCAGCTGCCTCAGGAGTCCCACGAGTCAACAAGGCCCAACAGGACTCCTTCTTCAGCCTGACGGCACCAGGGGGTTCAGGATTCAGCTGTTCGGGGATTACCTCCATGACAGGCACCTCAGACCTCACGCCCACAGCTCCGAGCGGACGCATCGACAACAGAGGCCGAGAACAAAACCCACTCACACTCCATGTCTCCAGACTCCCACGAGATTTGGGAGAAGTTCTCCTGGAGGTGTGAGTTGAAAGTTCCTCTGACAGAGGCTCTGCCAGACGTTCCCAACAGACCCTCACTACACACTTGGACCTGCTTCCTCCTCCACCAGTGAACCAACTCTACAGCTCTGACTCTCTTCACCCCAGTGTCCAAGACACACGGCCGGAGGTCACGTGATACAACGACAAAGTTGATCATCGACCTCCGGCCGAGGGCGACCTGGTGCCACGTGCACTGATGGACCAGGGTGGTGGTTCTGGACAAACTGTGACGAACACAGAAGTCCAATAATAGAACACGGCTCGGCTTCAGTCCAGCGAGAGGAACTCCAACACACGGAGGCTGAGCCGGGGGGCGGTGAGCCGGGGCGGTGAGCCGGGGGCGGTGAGCCGGGGGGCGGCCGGGGGCGGTGAGCCGGGGGGCGGTGAGCCGGGGGTGAGCGGGGCGGTGAGCCGGGGGGCGGTGAGCAGGGGCGGTGAGCCGGGGGCAGTGAGCTGGGGGCAGGGCGGCTGGACTCTCTGTTTCTGTGGTGAGTCCAGCCTCCCTCGAGGAGTTGGTTCCAGAGTCCAGGCTGTGTGGAGGTGAGGTCGACTGTATCTAGTCGGTAACACTCAACCTCCCACACGACCTCCGGCTCCTCCCCCCAGAGAGGTGGTGGGGGGGGCAGTCTCCATGTCCACAGATCTGGTTGTCAAGACCCCCGTCTTCGACTGCACCAGACCCTTAGGCAAGGCAAGGCAAGGCAAGTTTATTTGTATAGCACAATTCGTACACAAAGTAATTCAAAGTGCTTTACAGAATAAGAAATACATTAAAATCATAATAAAAACAAATCAAAACATAAATAATCATGAAGATTAAAATTAAAAAAGAGAGACATAAATTGGAGAGAAGAGTGCAGAATGAAAACCTTTCAGTTATTTGCACAGTTAAACAGAAATGTTTTGAGTCTGGATTTAAACAGCGTCACAGAAGAGTCTGTCTCACATGTTCAGACTGTTCCAGGTTTTAGCTTGCATGAACCTGAAACTCTGACTCCCCTTGTTTAGTTCTGACTCTGGCACCAGCAGGAGTTGCCGGTCCCTGAGCTCCTCAGAGTGCGAGATGGTTCATATGACACTAACATGTCACAGATGTACTTTGGTGCTCGGCCATGGAGAGACTTGTACACAAGCAGAGCTGCTTTAAAGTCTCTGAGGCACAGGAAGCCAGTGCAGAGACCTGAGCACAGGACTTATGTGCTCGTACTTCCTAGTTCGAGTAAGGACCCGAGCTGCAGCGTTCTGGATGTTCTGGATGTTCTGGATGTTGTGGATGTTTCTGGATGTTGTGGATGTTCTGGATGTTCTGGATGTTGTGATGTTGTGGATGTTCTGGATGTTCTGGATGTTCTGGATGTTCTGGATGTTCTGGATGTTCAGCGTCTCACAGCTCGTTTGGAGAGACCAGTGAGCAGACCATTACAGTAGTCTAACCTACTGGAGACAAATGCATGGATAAGTTTCTCCAAGTCTGATTTAGACAGTAAACCTTTGATTTTTGCTATGTTTTTTAGATGGTAAAAGGCTGCAGATGTTATTGATTTTATGTGACTGTTAAAGTTCAAGTCTGAGTCCATTATTACCCCGAGATTTCTTGCCTGATTTGAAGGTTTTAGAGCGAGAGACTGGAGGTGACTGCTGACACTGTCCCTTTGTTTCTGTGGACCAAACACTATGACTTCAGTCTTGTCAGAGTTTAGCTGGAGAAAGTTGTTTTGCCTCCACACACTGATCTGTTGGATGCAGTGACCAAGTGACTCCACTGGTCCATAGTCTCCTGCTGCCAGAGAGACGTAGATCTGAGTGTCGTCTGCATAATTGTGGTACGACACGTTATTGCTGCTTATTAACTGGCCTAATGGCAGCATGTAGAGATTGAACAACAGGGGGCCCAGGATTGACCCCTGAGGCACCCCACAGGTCAGGGCCATGTGATCTGAGACACAGTTTCCAATTTCAACAAAAATACTTCCTGTCTTCTAGATAGGACTTGAACCAGTTTAGTACAGTACCAGAGATGCCCACCCAGTCCTCTAGTCTCTGTAAGAGGATCCATGATCGACAGTGTCAAAAGCAGCACTCAGATCTAACAGGATCAAGACTGAGACTTTGCCTGCATCAGTGTTCAGGCGGATGTCATTTGTCACCTTGATAAGAGCAGTCTCAGTGCTGTGGTGGGCTCTAAAACCTGACTGGAAAACATCAAAGGAGTTGTTCATTTGGAGAAAGTTCGTAAGCTGTTGGTAAACAGCTTTTTTCAAGGACTTTGCCAAAAAACGGCAGATTTGAGATGGGTCGGAAATTGTTCAGTACTGTGGCATCAAGACTGCTCTTCTTTAGGAGAGGCTTAATGACCGCAGTTTTCAACGCATTTGGGAATGTTCCAGATTGAAGTGACATGTTCACTATGTGAGTGAGTGGTGAAAGTAAAACTGTTGAGGACAGACTTTAGAAAATCTAGTGGGTAACATGTCCAGGCAGCAAGTAGATGAACTCAGACTGGTAACGATCTCTAAAACAGTTTTGTCAGTTACAGGTGCAAAGTGATTCAGCTCTAAGTGTCTCTGTGGCTGCAGTTTGTTATTTGTGTTGTGGAATTGATGGCATTTTTGATGCCCTGAACTTTGTCATTAAAGAAAACTGCAAACTCATTACATTTAGATGTGGAAATTAGTTCTAGTGGCAGTGGAGCTGGAGGGTTTGTTAATCTGTTCACTGTTGCAAACAGGACACGAGAGTTGTTACTGCAATTACCAATAATGTCCGAAAAATACTTCTCTCTTGTTTTACTCAAAGTGTAGTTGTACATATGCATTGTTCCTCTGTAAATCTCATAATGAACCTGGAGGTTTGACTTGCGCCATTTCCGCTCAGCCTTCCGGCACTCCCTTTTCTGTGCTCTGACTGAGTCATCATTCCTCCACGGAGCTTTTTGCCTCTTTAACCACTTTAACCTTTATCGGAGCGATGGCATCCAGAACATTCAAAACACTCAAAGTCACAGAGTTCAACATTATACATTATATAGAACTTATGGTTCCTGCGGGAGGATGGCCGGGCCCCGCGGGGAAAGGCTCGGCCCCAGACGCTCGAGCGCCCACCCCAGGCCCAGCTCCAGGGTGGGGCCCCGGTGACTTCGATCCGGTAAAAAGACTAAAGTTTAAATGGTTCTAATTACTGATCGTCGCCAACGTGACTTAAACCCAAACTCACCGTGGCCGAGCAAACTCTGACGAACTGGTTTAGGAGCCACCAGCGGTTTGGGGGAGAGCGGAGGTCTGTGCAGAGAACCAGGAGAACCAGGAGAACCGGGTCTGAAGAGGGGCTCCAGCCTGAGAGGAGAGCCCGGGGAGGGGGCTCGGTCCTGGGTCAGTCTGAGAGGAGAACCTGCTCTGAGCGGAGATCCGGGTCTGAAGGGCGGCTCAGGTCTGAAGGGCG